TATGTCATTTCTCACATATTTGTTCAAGAGTACCCGTCTTAGAAGACACTCGATCTCCTCTTTTAGCTACATACAATCTTCAGTATCATGTCCGTAATCTTTATGAAAATGGCAATACTTGCTCTGATTTCTTTTGTTGGATGATGTCAACATCAGCTTTGGCCATTCTAGCTCCTTTATGTCCCGTATTTCCATCAACAACTTTGTGCGTAGGGTGTTCAAAGGGATAAAGGCCATGATCTCCTCTCATCTTTACATGATGGACCAATCTTGAGCATATCCCTTGTTCACATGCTCATTCTTCAGATTGTTTTTGTAAGCAGGTTTTCGATCGTCACTTGAATTTCGCTTACGACTTTCTGCCTCCCATCTCTCTCTAAGATTTTCCGTGACTTTCTCTGCTTTCTCTGCATCAATGTACTTGTCTCCCCTTTTCAGTAGGTCATGCATTGATTCTGGGGGGGTTTGGAGAGTGACATCTCAAAGGCCGGTTCCACGTCCCAATCAGTGCTGCTACCACTATAGACATTTGAAAGTCCTTTATGCCAAGTATTGCAAGGCTAAACCTCGCCAAGTACTCCTACAAAGATTTATCTTTCTCTTGTACAACCCGCATCAATCCAATGGTTGTCTTCCTCTTCCTCTTACAACTTAAGAATTAAGCCACAAAACTCCTAAAGAGCTCATTGAATGTTTAGATATACCGGGGTGCCAAAGTTGCTACCTAGTCTCTGGCTTCTCTTCTTAGTGTCGGGAGAAAGGATCGATACATCACTACATTTGGGGTTGTGTTGAGTCTCAAAAAATCAATAAAAGTCATCAGGTAGTCAAGCAGATCCATGACTCTGTCGTATGCCTCTATCATATGTTGTTTGAAGCCTTTCGATAGGGGCACCGCTATGATCTTGGGTGCAAATTGATCTTCTTCCAAAATCGTATGCCTAAGTCTGTCCTTCTTCTTGGATAGTACATCTTCTATCTTCTCGGCCATCATTTCTCCATCTGTCGTTCCAAATTTACCATAGTTTGTGGAAACTGCGGAACAGTGGCCCATGTATCTCTCAAGTCTCATGCTGCTGGTTGAATAATAGCTGGGACAACCACCGGTGCCTCTTAAGGCAGTTGTTGGCACTCGACCTTCGACGGGTTCCGTGGTAGGACTGTAGCTCTCTGAGATTGACTTTGTAAGAGGGGCATCATGGCTGCCACTGAGTCTCTAAAGTATTAAATTGGCTCTGCATCGTATACTGTGGCAATGGTGGCAGATCGTAACACTTGCGACAGACTTCGACTCCGACTCCATCGTCATTGCATTCCCGACCATACGTGTTTCACTCTTGTCTTGGTTCGTCTTCTCGACTAGCTCTTCTATTCAGTGGTTCTCACAGAGAATGCCAATGAAATTGTAATGAAACAAACTTCAGTGCCCTCCTGATGGTGTAAAGTGTTTCCACTACTCCGATGAACAAATGTTACCTGCAAAATGAGGTTAGGACTTTCTCTCCCATTGTACCTCTAGCGTGAGAATTATTAAGGGATTTGGGAATGTAAACTTAGGAAGAAAGATAGAGTATGTATTCAGACAACCAAAATATTTTGATCCATACTTGTCTCGCTTTGGGAGTATTTATAGATGACTGGAGCCATGTAACTATTGGGCAAATATTGTACCACGAGTTCCACGTAACATCTCCCACCACCCTTACATTTTGAGTCGAGGACTTCTACCTATCCAGCGGTTGGTTGTGTCAATGATAACCGTTAACAATTCCCATCCAACTCAAGGATTTTTTATGGTTAAGTATTGTATTGGTCTCGCAGGGGTTGACAACCTCATATTGGTAGACGGTCTAGTATGAATATAGACAGCCTCATAGTGGTCGACAACCTAGCGTTGACGTGGAGGGCTTCAAAGCAGTAGACGACCCTAGCATGTAGTAGCGGGCCTTCTAGTGGAGACACCCTAGCATGCAAGTAGAGGGTCTTGTAGTGGTAGATAGCTTAGCATGTGATGCTCTACGTAGAGGGTCTATTGAGTAGTCTTCAACATGTTTGTCGTAGCAAATTATTGATGCCATCAAATATCAGGGACCAACAATTTTGTTCTCTAGGTTTTTTTTCTCTTTGAACATTTTAATTTTTAGTCAATTTGACTTATTTATTTTTCAATTATTCACTTTTTATATACGAGTAAGATGAGGACATCGTCTCACATTGAAACTCAAACCAAATTTAAAAAAACCTCTTTAAAAATCAATTCAAATAGAATAGTTAGATAAATCGACCCAAATGGATCGATTTGGTTTGAATTAGTCTGTTTGTTCAATTTCGTGTTCAACTATTCATCCCAATTTGATAATCAAGATAATGTTTTCACTTTAAAGGTAAAAGTAAAAATAAAGAATAATTAATAAGTTGTAAATGATATCTATCTATGCCTATCATACTTTTCTCCCCTTTAGAGGGATGAATAGATTGATGATATAAAAGTGAAGAAGATGAATTCCCCGTTAAGCAACTAACAAGCAAGGTCACAACCTGCGTGAGAGCACCAGCTCCTCTTTCCCGTAATATGGCACTGAAACCAAACTTTGTATTTTTTGACAAAAAAATACATTAATATTAAACAATTAGATCTACTATATGAGACGTTATTGAATCATCTAACAATGGATATAGATGTGTCCTCTCTTTATGTATGTGCGAGAGAAATAGATTAATTGATGTCGCATACTTCTACACTCCTTGTTGGGTATTGACACTTTGNAGTGGCATGTGAGTTGTTAGTAGTATGGTTGTGTAAGAGTTGATAGGATAGTTGGTAGATATATCTTGTAAAATCTATCTAACTTTGGCTATAAATATAGCCATGTATTACCAGGAAAACAGAGAGGAAATAGACAGAAAATACAGCACAAAAACCGTCCAAAAATGTAGTTCCAGAAGCTGTCTTCCTCTCCTCTGTTCTGCTCTTACACCAGCAGAGTGATGAGTGTTTTTATTTATGTTTTATACTTGTTTTATGTTGTCTTTTATGTTGATTTCCACTGCCATCTTCCCCACACAAAACCACATTTTATTGAGTTGTTAAACTCTATTTTGTTGAGCTAAGAACAGCTCCATCTCCCCCTCGATCTGACTTGTTCTTCACTATGAAGATGGTCATCCTGTAGAAGGATGAACCACTCATTTCTTCACACCATTGAGCACAACTTCCGCACAAATGGAAGAGTTTCGACTCTTCCAGATTCTACAATTGGTATCAGAGCATTGAGCTTACACTCCTAATGACCATACTAGAGCGACCAAGATTTTGTATATGTCTTGCACACCATCAAATTTTGAGTTTTGGATAAATATAAATCAACACAAGTTTCATCCATTTGCATGATATTTTTTCAGCCAAAATGGCACTCATGTTGCCCCATCAATGTGCATGATATTGATACTCTATGCTCATTATAATTTCCACTAGGCATGCTCAAATTCTTTACTTGTATTATATATGGTCACTAACGGGAAGATGGGCTCTCTCATCTTTTAGGATAGTGCATGACCTCACAATGACAAAATATTTAACTGTTTTATCTGTTTTTGAATCTTCTCTTTTTATAGTACTAGAGTGAAGCAAGTGCGATGCACGTGAATTGTTTGTAATTATGCATTTAATAAAGTTAAATCAATTCGTATAATTTATATTTTGTCAATACTGAAATAAAACATGTGGAAAGATGGAAGAAATCATTTTTAAGGAACATAATACATGATGAAATAATTAAATAGAGATCTGAAAAAACAAAGAAAATAAACATTTAAAATACAATAGTCTTAACTCTTAACATTAAAACGAAAAGTTAAGAACTTATTTAGTTTTAATATTTAAGTTTAAGTACTGAATACTCAGTTGAAATGTATCATTAAAAAATATTAGGGAACAATTCATGTAGGAATTATATTTTCAATTGTAACAGACATTTTGTACACCAAACAATGACTATTGATACTTTATGAACTAAAAAACTCATGGATCACCTATACTGCTATTCTTGGCTCTTCGCATATTTCCGGGCATCCTACTTTGAAGAAACAGACATCACCATTTTGTAACCGATCCATTTCTTCCATCAATGTGGTCCAACGTTCATTAGTTTTTCAGAAACTTACCCATTAATTGGACAATCAAAATTAGTAACTGCAGCCATAATTTGATGGGGTTTTTGGCTATATATATATGGATAGGTTTGGTACCTAAGCTCCACCACTGAAAATACGCATATACACCATCAATTTCAGAGTATTGAGAGCTTAGAAGTATTATTACCTTGAACGAAAGTGGAGCTTCTTGAACAACATCAATGGCCGGAGGTATGAACTCGATCCATGAGTTTTAAATTTTTTTTTTTCGATCCAATTTGTTTTCCGTATAATGGTTTTGGATCAATTTTTAGAATAACATTTGGTATCAAAGCACCGTATTACCTCTACCCTGGTGTTTCATCAGCAATCTGAAACTGTCTACTCTAGGCAATTTTCTTTTTGAAAATAAATTTCAGATTTTTCTATAAAATCATATTTCTATCTTCTGTATGTTTTAAAACTTGAGTTTTGACATTGAGAAGGTTGAATTTGAAACAGGTCTAAAATGGGTTAAAATTCACCCGACTTGAGGAAGAAGACGACAATCTCTATTTTTTTTTTCTGTTGTTTCCAAAATGAGGAATTTTGAATGAGAAAATTACCTATAACCCTACAATTAAAGATTAATTTTCATAAATAAGGTGGTTAAGTTTAAAATTCAGATTTCAGGTGGTAAATAAGATAATTAATTGTAATTAATAAAAAAAAAAAATTGAACGTAATCTACATATTCATCCCCCCAACACACCACACCTTACCCCTACCCTGATTCATCCCAAACCCAATTCATTTCAAACCCCAAAGTTTCTTAACATCTTCCTTTGTCTCTCTCTCTCTTTGCCACCGACGATACCCACCCACCCTCACTCTGTACTCTCTCTTCTAACTTCGTCTTCGCCGGAGCTGAATCCCGGCCAAAATTTCGGCAAGGCTGGGAGGTTCAAGACAAAGTTCTGGTGACTGACAGTGGAGCCAACACCCTCCGATGAACTCAGTGCAGTACTGCTGCCAACCGCGCCGTTGTTACTCGCTGTACCACCTTAGTAGTGGCGTCTTTTATGATCACCTAAGACCTAGTCAGTGGGGAAACGCCTGTGGCAAATTGAGCACTCGTGGGTCCTTCTGCTGCTACCCCTCGTGGTTGAGACAGTGGGTAGTGATTCCAAGCAGCGCACGATCTGAGAGAGCGACGTCGATTGTCACAGCTGCAGATATTGGGGGTGATTTCGGACAGTGTCGATTTGGTTGTTGGTAGTTGTTTGTGGGTGGTGATGATGGTGTTTGTGCAAGTAGAGATGACGGTTGTGGTAGAGATGACTTCGAGGCTTTGGGCCTTTTCCGTTTTGGATAAAGCTCTACTGGGTGGAGAAATTTGGTGGCGGTTTTGGTGGTGTGGTGGTGTTGGTGGTTGTTTCTCCAAGGGCTCAGATGATACTGTGCTTGATTTGTATTCATGGAAGTACAATCCAGGCAATGGTCTAGTTCCTTCTTATCATAATGATTTTAGTACTCCCATTTTCTTATCATTCTTCTTTTCTAGTTTTGGTTTGCAAAAATATTTGAGGTTTGACAGAAGAAGAGGCGATGATTGGTGGTTGATTGTGGTGCTGGTTTGTAGTGTAAACGGATTTTGTTTGTGGTGACCATTTGTGACCAAGTATGGTGGATTGTGACTGTTTGTGACCGATTGTGACTTCAAATTCTGGAAATTTTTTGGAAGTTGGGGAGTGGGGTGGATGGTGTGGGTAGGTTGATCGGAGCATGCGTTGGAGTGGTTATTGTAGTAGTTTGCCAGATGGATGGTGAATAGTGGCCGGAGAGAGCGTCGGAATAGTCGTCGGAGCAGCCGTCGGAACTGTCACCGGAGCGGCCGCCGGAGTAGATAGCCGCCTCCGATGGAGAAAAGGAGTAGGGAGAGGATAGAGAATAGAGAGAAAGAGAATGATTTGAAAAATATTTAATTAATTGATTTAACATCTGATCTTTAAAAAGATTTTTGAAATTTGTTATTTTTGAAATGTAATTAGAGAGAATGATTTGGATTTAAAATTTAATAAATTGGGGTAATTGTATTATATTATAATTAAAAATATTAAATTAATTGATTTAACATCTGATTTTTGAAAAGATTTTTGAAAATTGTTATTTTTGAAATGTAATTTTTATATAAAGGATTTATGTGTTGTTCCCATTTTGAATTGATAATCATTTATTGGGCCATATAGAGATGATATACAAATATTTACTGGACCATAATTATTGGGCATTTGGAAATGATTTAAAATCATTTATTGGGGCTATTATTTTTTTAAAAAAAAGATATCTTTTTTGTGGGCCTATTGTGCAGTGTTTTTTTTTCGGCATTTATTTTGTTTTTATACCTATGTTTGTTAATCTTTGCATTATAATATATGTAATCTTCGAATTAATTAAATTATGAAAATATTTATTATGCTCGTATTTATTTTGCATATGTTAATTATTTATGTTTAGAATAATATATGCAATTTTATGATGAATTAAATTACGTTTTAATTTTTTTTATGCAATTTATTATGTTTATATGAATATTTTGTGCATAATCATAACACGTTAGTTAATATTGTGCTAATAGACTTATTCTCATCTTGAGTTAATCGTTTATGCATAAAATACTTGATGTCTAGAAATTTCTATAGCTTTATTTAATTGGGGATTAGCCACAATATCTTTAATTAAATAAAATTATATATTAAGTTTAAGATCACATAAAGAGTACAGATATAAAATTGTAATTAATGTACTTAATATGATAAATTTTATACCACATGAAATTTTATTATATTTATATAATTAATTGGAATAAAATATCAAGTTGCCTCATAATTTGCCCACTGGAATTATGAATAAGTACATAATTTGATAGTTTTATTATAAATTTTGTTTTTAAGATAGAATATCAAATTGTGTTCATAATGTACTAAATATGAATTAAGTACATAATTTTATAATTCTATCATAAGGAATAAACGAATATTCTTGAATTAAAAATTTAGGCCACAGGCAATTTTTATGTCATTGTATTCAATTTTAGCAAGATTTACATTGGTAAAACATGCAGTGTATTAAATTAAACTTCAATTTTTACATAAACAATTTTTAATATTATACAGCTTCACAACCTGCTAATTTCTCTGATGTTCGTTGTGATTTCCTGAATTAAAGGGTGATAACTACAAATTATGGAACGAGAGAATTCTTCTCCATTTAGGATGGATGGATGTTGATTATGTTATTAGGAAAGATAAATCACCTGAAATCATTGATACCAACAATGTAGCAGACATCGCACTTTATGAAAAATAGGAGCTATCTAATTGCCTCGGAGTTATGCTCATAAAGACTAAAATTTCTGATAGTATACGTGATTCCATTGATCAGCATGACAAGGTCCAAGATAATAAAAGCAATTGATGACGAATTCATTACTTCGGATAAGGCATTAGCAAGCACCTTGATAATAAAATTCTCATCCTTAAAGCTCACCAGTGTGAAAAGTGTGCATGAACACATCATGCATATGAGATTACAACTTAACTAAAGACACTCGAGGTTGAGTTGTCTGAATCCTTCACCGTGCACTACATCTTAAATACTCTCCCACAACAATACGGACTATTCAAAATCTCTTGCAACACATATAAGTATAAATGGTCAATAAATGGATTAATGACTATGCGTGTTCAAGAGGATGGGAGGCTAATAATGAAACAAGGTGAAAGTGTATTGTTGTCTACAACCTTGGGAATGGGAAGGCTCAAGCCAATCAAAAGCGAGAGGTAAAATACCACCCTAGGCTGATATCAAGAAAGAGGCTAAGTATTATTTTTGTAAAAAGAAGAAACACAAAAGAAAGATAGCGCCAAATTCAAGAAATGGCTTGAGGATAAAGGTAATCCAACTTCATTTGTTTATTATGAATCTAATGTGGTTAATATAAATATTAACACATGGTGGATTGACTCTAGACCTAAAATCCATATCGCAAACTCCTTGTAGGGTATGCAAAACCTATGGAAGCCAGTGTGAGGTGAGCAACATATCTTATCTGGAAACAAAATGGGCTCACATGTGGAGGATATAGGAACATACATTTTAACTTTGAGTAGTGGCTTTATTTTGAAATTAGATAGGACCTTTTATGTCCAAGTTTTTCTCGAAACTTGATCTTTATTTCTAGACTTTTACCTTTGGGATATTCCTTTAATTCTTCAAACATGTCATTCAATTTATTATTTAATTCTAATTGTGTTGGGATTGGTATTATGTCTAATGGTCTTTATCGATTAATTTACAAAACAATATCACTTATAGTTTAATGCATGTTCACACTGGCGATAAACATTGTAATATTAACAAAGACTCCTCTATGTTCACTACAACAAAAATAGCCATTAGCAACATTTAAAAGGCAACATTTATCAATAAATGTTGCCAAAATGGTCTTTTGGCAACATTTTCGTAAGTGAATGTTGCCATAGGTTAATATAAATGAGTTATAGCAAAGTTTTTATAAAAAATGTTGAGGTAGACCACTTATCGCAACGTTTATTGAGAGTTGCAGAAAGGTCCTAC